ATATAGGGCGAGTCTAGGTGCAAAACGATGCACTCCCAAAAAATATCGGATTGCTCGGTTTTGGATATTTTCAACGGCCTGGTATTTGCTGTATTCCCATACTCCCGATGCATAATCCAGAACGGGAACTACACAGGAGTAATACAACTTCTCATAGGCTTTAATTCCAAGTCTTTATTGGTATGTATTTTGGAGATTATCTTCCCAAGCGCTCTTCCCCCAGCTTTTGAAAGAATCTCTACATTCTCTGTGAAGTTTCCACTGAAGGTGAACGTTACACCTAAATATTTGTTTTGGTCAACTTTCTCCAATCTATTTTTGCCGATAACAAACTCAAACGTTGTCTGTTTCGTTCTCACTTTCCTGAAATGAACACTCTTCAGGACCCCCCCCCCCCCCCTGGAATTTACAAGGTTAAAAAATGTATATACTAAAACAAGGAAAAAGTTACCATGGACCCCCCTTGGAAAACGCAGACCCCCCCTAGTAAACACGAATATGTGTAAAATGGGTATGAAAAGTTAAAGATTTGAGGCAATAGACCCCACCACTACCCCCCCCCCCCCGACCCACCCACCACGATATAGTTTTTTGACGTTTGGGCGAGTTTTACTTTATGTTATTATGTTTTTTTTTTTTTTGTTTTTTTTTTTTTTTTTTTGCTTGAAAAGAAATTTCTGGGATAGGATTTTTTTTTGACTGAGGTGGACTCCCCCTGGAAAAAATTTCTGGATCCGCGCCTGGTTCCCGATTGTTATTAGGACACTACTGAACCTTTTTCGACTAATACTAGTATTTGATACAAGTACTATACCGTCTGTTTGGCGAAAGGCTGTTATATATGTCCTATTATTAAAGATCACTCATCTGATGAACTACAGAGGGATTAGTTTACTAATATGTATCAGTAAACTATATAGTGCTTTTATAAACAAACGCTTAGTCAGCTTTCTTGAAAACCAAGAAGTCCTTCTAGATGAGCAAAACGGTTTCCGAAGACATAGATCATGTGAGGATCATATTTTCACTCTAAACAGTGTAATTAGAAATACAGAGTCACTTTTTGTAGCGTTTATTGACTTGAAGAAGTGCTTTGACTTTGTAGACAGAAACATGATGTTGTATAAACTCTTGTTACACAGCGTGGATGGTAAAATTTACAACTCAATCCGGAGTATATACCAGTACTCAGAAGCCTGTATCCGATTGAACGGAAAACTAACACCGTAGTTCTACTGTAAAACAGGCGTTAAGCAGGGAGATCATCTATCACCAACACTTTTCTCCATATTTATAAACGATCTCGTGAAGGAAACCAATGCTCTTGACCTTGGGATAGACCTACCTGATAGGAAACTATCTGTACTACTTTATGCGGATGATATCGCCCTAATGGCCAAGAGTCCAGAAGATCTACATGCAGTGTATGTTGGATAAGCTTCATCAGTGGTGCAAGAGATGGAGAGTACTGATCAACTTGGATAATTCAAAGTGTGTTCATTTCAGGAAAGTGAGAACGAAACAGACAACGTTTGAGTTTGTTATCGGCAAAAATAGATTGGAGAAAGTTGACCAATACAAATATTTAGGTGTAACGTTCACCTTCAGTGGAAACTTCACAGAGAATGTAGAGATTCTTTCAAAAGCTGGGGGAAGAGCGCTTGGGAAGATAATCTCCAAAATACATACCAATAAAGACTTGGAATTAAAGCCTATGAGAAGTTGTATTACTCCTGTGTAGTTCCCGTTCTGGATTATGCATTGGGAGTATGGGAATACAGCAAATACCAGGCCGTTGAAAATATCCAAAACCGAGCAATCCGATATTTTTTGGGAGTGCATCGTTTTGCACCTAGACTCGCCCTATATGGAGATATTGGTTGGATTCCTAGCTATTATCGACGGTGGATGAACATGATCCGTTATTGGAATAGAATTCTCACGATGGATACTGACCGTATCACGAGGCTCGCATTCGATATGGATTACAGGATTTGTACTTTGTACTAATAACTGGTGCAGTGAAATCAAGGATATATTCCAACGACTCGAATTAGGACATGTCTTTAACTCACAGGTACCTATGGATATGAAAACGGCTGAACTGTGTATATTACGTTATTACTCATCTCTATGGGAAGACGCTGTCCAAAATGTTCCAAAACTCCGTACATACGTAACCATAAAATCCGCCTTCGAACAGGAGGAATACGTGAAACTAAATCTAAGCAAAACGGAACGCTCACACCTCGCCCAGTTAAGGTGTGGCATTTTACCTCTGCGAGTAGAGACGGGACGCTACATTGGGGAACGACCAGAAGAGAGAGTATGTCGATTCTGCGATGCCGGAGTTGCCGAAACGGAAACTCATTTTGTACTCGATTGTTCATTCTATACAGACATCCGACAAAGCTCCCTCGGTAATCTGTTAGAATCCGACAAATTTTTATCTATAGATAGCAGTGAAAAAATGAAAACTTTGACAACTAATTATGTAAGGAAACTCGCCAAGTTTGTGGTAAAAGCCTATAGATACAAAAAGGAGAAATAACATTTATAACTGTATTTCCTGCTAAAATAACTGTTAATGCTATGGACAATTATTTAATATTTCATTTGTGAAAATGTAAGGTGAAAGGCTAATGTTGTAATATATATAAAGAAATTCGGTTGTAAAAACAAAATAAAACCCCATCCCTTTACAAAATAGGATTTTCAGGTTTGGAGATTTATTTTCCTTTCTTTTTCAAAAACTTTCTGGTAATGTATACAAGTACTTTTTCCCAGATTGATCAACGTCCCACTTTCAAAAACCATACTCCACCCTGTATCGATATTCTATTGAGTTATTTAACTATATGTATGTGTACAACGTACGTTTTAACTGTTTTCGCCTTCAACCCCCCCCCCTTTTGAAAAAAAACCTCAACCCCCCCCTTTGAAAAATTTCTGGATCCGCGCCTGTAAAGGTTTGATGGATTATTCTTTATTATGTTTGTAGAAGATTCTTTTTAATATGGAATATTTATCACACTGTAATGATGATATTATGAGTTTGTACAAGCCAGACCTCATAAATTTTTCATTTCACATGCTGAATACTATCGTTTAGTAAAAAAAGAAAAGTATTTCGAAAAAAAAAATTGGATCGTCCGAGATGCGATCCCGGGCCCCCTCACATTTGAAGCGAGAGACATACCACTAGACCACGGAGCCTCTGTTTTATGCAAACATGAAGTGACATACATGTATATATTCACGTTTGATATTGTCAAAATTTTACGCAGTGCATGGTGTCTAATTTAATCTTTATTAATCTATCAGTTCTAATAGACGTAATAAGAATATAAAGTCCTACGAGAACCTGTTTTATACGTAATAATTCTCCTCATGTCCCTGTGCTAAAAATAGCGACATGTAATAAAATATAAATTATAAATAAATAAATAAATACTAATAAAACAAACGGGGCGGGGCACTTTGAAAGGAGTGAGAGAGGTCCTAGGGAGTTATGGTATAATATTACATAGCAAAAGCTCAAAATCTTGAAATATCGCCCGAAAATGATAGTGTTTCATACAAACAGTATGTTTAGATTTACGACCTTGAAATTTGACCTTTTGACCTCAAAATCAATAGGGGTCTTCCTTAGACCACAGGGAGTTGTTATGTAAAATATCATTGCAAAAGCTCAAAGGGTTCTCGAGATATCGTGTGGAAACGAAAGTGTTATAACAGACAGAATTTGCTTATTCATGACCTTGACCTTTGACCTTTTGACCTCAAAATCAATAGGAGTCTTCTTTAGTCCATAGGGAGTTGCTATGCTAAATTTCATTGCGAAAGCTCAAAGGGTTCTCGAGATATCGTGTGGAAACGAAAGCGTTACAGACAGACAGAAAGACGGACGGACGGACGGACAGACGGACGGATAAACCCAAATCAATATCCCCCACTTTTCAAGCGGGGGACAATTATATACAAACATTAAGTCACATACATTCACGTTCGATATATTGTCAAAATTTAACACAATGCATGTCTAAATTTAACCTTACAATTCTAACAGATGTACAAAATAAGAATATAAAGTCTGCCGAGAACCCGTTTTATAACAACTCTCCTTCATGCCCCTGTGCTGTTAATAGCGACATGTAATCAATCTCTACAATCAATACTAATAAAACAAATGGGGCGGGGCACTTTGAGAGGGGTGAGAGAGGTCCAAGGGACTTTTGATATAAAATTACATTGCAAAAGCTCAACATCCTCTTGAAATATCGCCCGAAAACGATAGTGTTACACACAAACAGAGTGTTTACATTAATGACCTTGAAGTTTGACTTTTTGACCTCAAAATCAATAGGGGTCTTCCTTAACCCACAGAGAGTTGTTGTGTAAAATTACATTGCAAAAGCTCAAAGGGTTCTCGATATATCGCGGGGAAACGAAAGTGTTATAACAGACAGGATTTGCGAATTTATGACCTTGACCTTTGACCTTTTGACCTCAAAATCTATAGGGGTCTTCTTTAGTCCATAGGGAGTTCCTATGCAAAATTTCACTGCAAAAGCTCAAAGGGTTCTCGAGATATCGTGTGGAAATGAAAGCGTTACAGGCAGACAGAAAGACGAACGGACGGACAGACGAACGGACAGAAAAACCCAAATTAATATTCCCCACTTTTCAAGCGGGGGACAATAAAACAAGCGGGTTATTATGTGTGTGGAAGATTCTTTTTATATGGAATATTTATTACACTTTAATGATGATTTTATAACCTCATGATTTTTTTTCACCGGTGGCATAAATTCTGCGCAGTCAACATTTTTTTGGAATATTACCTGTTGTCAAGCAATGTTGACTGTGGTACGCTGGAGGGTAATAGTTTTTTTTTTTAATGTTTCTCCATGAATCAGATTCAACCAATTTACATACAATACAATATTTTGAATTATAACTGAAGAAACCATTCCATGCAAAATATACACCAATAAAAATGCAATTTTATATATATTTATTAAAACAATGGAAAAACTGGTAAATAGAAGTTAGTAAGAATTAAAATTTAATTAAAAGATGATCGACCAATTATGGCCCTCAAAAGTTAGTTTATGGCTAGGTACATGTAATATCTGGCTGGTAACCACAAGTAAATATCTTCCGTCATGAAATATAACAGCTTTCATCATCAACAAACAAGGTTCCACACGTCTTATTTGAAGCCAAAGAATTTCCTCAGTCTTCCTCTAAGTGATTTCTTTTTCTGTAGGCCGGGCATCTGGAAAAATCAAATTCAACATTCAGATATAAGAGAGAGAGTTAAATTTTGCTATTTTGAAAAATATTACAAGTAGATATAAGAAAAGTACAAAAAATAACTGAAATTTACTCCTTAATTATAGTAACAGTAGTTAGATCACAGATTTTTTTCCCTCTTTTTTTTTTAAATAGAGTACATTCAGCTTTTGAGAAAAATCTTTGGTCAAAATTTTGTTTTTTTTTTAACCAAAATAGTTGATAAACATAAATGCATACAATACCATTTCTACTCTTGTTGCACAGTGGTCATTCTTGTTCTTGATCTCTGATGGCAAAATCTCAGTCTCTACATTCTAAAATGGAAGAATTTATTTTATAAAGCACCTCTAACAAATATTAAGATGTCGTTTTTGCCCACAAGGTTTTATCTAATATCTCAGTGGATAATGAATCATTTAGCATAATTTGGATGGATTATCTTCACTTAAAATAATTAAGTTAAGCATTATTTTAGCGGTTCTTTGAATTTTTTTTCAACAGATTTTTTAATGTTAAAATATGACATTAAAATATTATAAAAAGAATACCAAAAAAAAAGAGCCCCATTTTCGCAATTTTCTAAGTGCCCGGGCTTGTTAATAGGAATTATACGGTATGCATAAAACATTTAAATCAATACAATTTAATTCTGCACAAGAAATATTTCAAAATGATTTCTAAAAAAATGTCATATCAAATTTTTACCTGTGGAGAAGTTTTGAAGGTATCCACTTTAAATAGAAACAGTTTCCGAGGGACAAATAAATCTTCTTCTTCCTCCATTTCTAAGTCTGATTTGTTGTCTTTGTTCAAATTCTATAAAACAGGGAACTCTTCATTAGGTACAGAAATATTTGATTTTGTTTTGTTTGATTTTAATTCTAATTCTAGAAGAAGAAAATTATTCATTCATTTTTAAAATGTATTAAATTTTTTTTCTATATTCAAAATTTTGAAAGTCATATGTTTAGTACAATATTTTACAAACAAAAACATTAGTTACATGTATAACTGCTAAATTAAGGCCTACTTATATTTGTTTGCACTCTAAAAAAAAATTATGTTGCTAGGTAAATGAAAATGACCCCACCCCACCCACCCACCAAAAACCAGTGCTGAATTTTTAAAATAATTTTTGTTATATAAATTTTAAAAAAAATGATCGGTCTCTTGGGGGGGGGGTAAAAAAAGGAACAATTTTTTAGCCAGTCATTTAAACTGAAACAGGGCAATAACACAATATCTTAAAAATGGTCTAAATTACTTACCTTAAGCTCTTTAAGCATTGCTGACTTCAGTGCCTTCAGAATTTGGAACTGCTTTTCTTCCAAATTTCGTTTGGTCAAAACTGTCTGTTAATAACAAATGAAAAAAAAACACATATTTAAATTTTGAAAAGATAAAGAAGCAAATGGTAAAACTTACAAAATATAATCAAATATTCGATATCACAATTAATCTTTTTCTTTATAGCAATTTCTTATTTCATTTCTATGGTCCACAAATTTTGATGACACCACCTACAATTCACTTTTTCTTTTTATAATTATTATTTCTTAACAAGTTTGCTTAATTTTCTTTAAGAACCTTTTAACTACACTTATTTCAATCTTACTCAATACGTGAATATTAAAATTGATTTTTACACATTTTAACAATGAAAGGGAGTTTACCTTAAGCTCTTTTAGCATCTTCAACATCATATCCTGTTGTTTCCTGAACTGTTCACCTTCGAATTTCTTCTTAGTCAAAACTATCTATTAGTAATTTTTCAATAAAATTAATATGACAAACAAACAAAACAAGACAGGATCATTAAAATTAAGAACATATTCAAAAAATACAAGAATATATAAGATAAGTTAAGGATAAACAATGAAAATTTACCATGAGCTCTTTGTGTATGGCTTGCCTCTTTTCTTCTCTTGCAATTCTTCCTTCAAAATCCAGTAATGCCACAACCTGAAAATCAAAATTCATCAAAAACTATTTTTACTTAACCTTTGTTAAAAATTGTTAATTATCACAATTTTTGCAACCAATAGTGGTAACATTTGGCATGTTTACCTTAAGTTCTTCTAACATCTTAGACATGATCTTCTTCTGATCGTGTATTTTTGTTTTGTCCTGATCTCTCCTAGTCAAAACTGCCTGCATAATAAATGATAAAATAAAGATCAAATTTTAATTTCATACACAATTAATAATGAAAATGATTGGTTAAGAAGGTACAGTTTGGTCTGTATTGTGCCCTAAAAATTTTATTTTCTTAAAAAGTTGATTAAATTGAGAACATAATGCATGAAAACTTACCATCAACTCTTTGTGTATGGCTTGCCTCTTTTCTTCTCTCACAATTCTTCCTTCAAAATCCATTAATGCCACAACCTGAAAATCAAAATTCATCAAAAACAAATTACACTTACCGGGTAACCTTTGTTAAAATTGTTAATTATCACCATTTTTGCAACGAATAACAGTAACATTTGGTATACACATGTATTTACCTTCAGTTCTTTTAACGTCTCCTTCATGATCTTCTTCTTATGGCCGGCTTTCATTTTCTCATGATCTCTTCTAGTCAAAACTGCCTGGATAATATTAATTATAAAATAAAAGTCAAATTTCAATATCATTAACATTTAATCATGAAAATTATTGGCTAAGAAGAAGGTACAGTTTGGTCTGTATTTTGCCCTAAAATTGTCATTTTCTTAAAACGTTTATAAAATTGAGAACATCATGCAAAATGACTAAAAATACAATACAAGAATAAACAATGAAAATTTACCATCAGGTCTTTATGTATGGCTTGCCTCTTTTCTTCTCTTGCAATTCTTCCTTCAAAATCCATTAATGCCACAACCTGAAAATCAAAATTCATCAAATTAAAACTATTGACACTTAACCTTTGTTAAAAATTGTTAATGGTCACAATTTTTATAACCAATAACAATAACATTTGGTATATAGTAGACCTTCAGATATCCCGACGCCAGATATCCGGATGCTTCAGTATCCGGACGCTTTTTCATCGGAACAGAATTTTAAAATGTTATTGTATTTTGTTTAACTGGTGATTCAGGTATCCGGACACTTCACATATCCTGACAAATTGACTGGGAACCAAAGCGTCTGGATAAATGAGGCTCCACTGTACACATGTGTTAATTTTACCTTGAGCTCTTTCAGCATCTCCTTCATGATTTTCATCTGATGGTGGATTTTTATTTTGTCCTGATCTTTCCTGGTCAAAACGGCCTGTATATCAAATAACAAAATAAAAATCAAATTTTAATATCATAAACATTTAATCACAAAAATAATAGGCTAAGAAGAAGGTACACTTTGGTCTGTATTGTGCTCTTAAAATTTTATTTCTTAAAAATTTAATAAAATTGAGAACATAAATGCAAAATGACTAAAATATGACATAAGGGATAAACACATGAAAACTTACCATTAACTCTTTATGTACTGTCTGTCTTCTCTCTAATCTCTCATTTCTGTTCTCATATTCTCTTGATGCCACTTCCTGAAAATCAAAGTTTATCAATAGTAATGAACAGTTTACCGGTACCTTTTTAAAATGGAGAATTGTCCACATTTTCAGTTCCTGAAGCATTGCAACCAATTACATTAACATTTGGCATTTTTACCTGAAGCTCTTTAAACATCTTCATCATGATCTCCTTCTGATAGTGAAGTTTTATTTTGTCCTGATCTTTTTGAGTCAAAAATACCTATATAAAAAAAAAGTCAAAAATTTATTCAGTGAATTCAAAATCAGATTTTAATCTCATAGACACTTAAACCCAACAATTAAAAGGATAATTTGGTAGAAGATAATTAAGCACATGTTATTGAAAATTTTACCATCAGTTCTTGGTGGATAGGCTTCCATGCTTTTCTGGATTTTTCAATGCCAATAAATGTGCTTCTTAGCTTGACAATCTTCCTAGGGACTTCTTTCTGTAAATAAAATATTAATATTAATCAATCTGGGCTGCAAAGAGCAGACAAATATCACATTACAACTTCATAAGAAGCCCGGTATACAATACCTTAAGTTCTTCTTGCATTTCTTCTTTTAACTTGATCTGGAAATCCATGACTTTCAACATCTCTTCTACCTTTAATAAGTTTTCCTAAATAAACAATTTATGTAAAATAAATAAATTAATGAAATAAATAAATAAAATTGTTACATTCATGAAAGAAATTATATTGACCTATTATACAAGGAGAGGGTGTGCAAGGTCTTTGCCTGTTTCCCAATACTTTAATTATTAAATTAAATTATTCAACAAAATATGTTTAATTAAAGTAAGTATATCATAGACAAAAATTATACATAATTTCAAATTGTGCTCATTTGTAAACCAAAACAGTTCTCATATGAATTAACTAAGATCAATAATAGCGTCTCCATATGAGTGAAAAATTCGGTAGGGACGTTAAACAACAAATAATAAATCAATCATCAGATATTTATAAAGCCCAGCATTACCTGTCGCAGTTCTTCCTCCTCTACCATATCTATCCAGTTCCTTTCAAACTTTAGGATCTCTTTCTTTGATTTCTAAAAAATAAACCCAGATGCTTTTTACATGAATCCCTCTCTCTCTCTCTCTCTCTCTCTCTCTCTCTCTCTCTTTATTTTCAATAATAATTTTGTAATTTGAACTCTTAACGTTAACTCTCTTCAACAAAAGAATTTATATGTGGATGATGCATATAGGGAACTTCTTGACACGAGATAGTTTTTCCAAAGGACACCAATCTAGCATCGCGATTAAAATTAGCCATAGTTGGAATCATTTATCTGGCTAAAATAACAGTCTTGAACAATATACTCACCAGATCTTTAACGGCTTCATCTCCGAAGTCCAGAATTAATTCTGTGTCCTGCAATGGTAAACAATTTTATTTCAGGAATTAAGCAAATTACAAACTGTGAAAATTATTGACATTGCAAAATACTGATAATTGTTAAACTATTTAATGCAGTATTATAAGATGTTCCAAAATTCTTATCTGTTTTTTTATTTAAGAAACCAAAAATTAAAAAATATTATCTTCAACGTTTGAAAAAGCTGCATGCATCAATGAAAAAAAGGTTACTTCCCTTTCACCTTACTCTAGTTTTATTTTAAGAAGAACAAAGACTTGAATTTGTTTTATTTTTCTAGGAGTTCAAAATTACCCCCCCCCCCCTTTTTTTCACAGCTTTCCAAGGCAAAGCATAGACTTTAAAAATTCTAGTTAAAATGTCTAATAAGCTTAAGCTCCTTACAAAGGGGATTGGAAGCATGT